TTTCATATCGCTAGTTCTTTATGATAATATACTTTCTAAGAATAGACGTTTTGTACAAACGACTAGAAATTTCATTCACTTGCTTCGTTGCTACTCTTGTTTCCTGACCGGGGGAAGCGATTAACGTAGAAATCTTCGTTAGCTTACAGTACGAAACTTATTCAGTTATTGTGGGCCCACCTCTTTTTTGCTTTTTCTTAAGTCTTACCTCTTATATTCATATCACTGGCTCTCGTAAGTGCTTGCTTAGTTGGTCTTTGTTCAGGTTTTCTTGAGAATTAGTTGGCCCGCAGGGTTGTGGCGATTTGAGTGGCGTTGCCGTTTTTTGCCGTAGTCTTGCGAGTTTTAATAGTCTGCTAGTGAGCTTACTTTTTATTGAGGCACTTCATAACTTATTAGAACTAACTTTCGGGACCAACTCTGGGTTTTGAAGTGACCAACACTTAAATTCATTACTAATCGCTCTAACCCTTCAATCCTTCAAAGGCTTGACTGTTCCCAGGATGGCGACACCCATTTCAAGAAACATAGGTTGGAAAAGTTTTTATTTTAGGTTTCAGAAGATTACTGTCTTTTAGGAGACTAAAGGGCCTATACGAAATCTGCTGCGTCTTTAATGCGGTTTTTTGGGAACAGTTAATGCATAAAAAATAAGCAACCAGTGTACTGCCTAGCTTTGCTGATTTTTTGTAATAGTTCTTAATACTTCAACTGAAGTAATTTGGCTTAGTTATTGGAGTGGTTAAAAATCAGTTTGGTGATTCTATTTATTTCTTTTTTGATAAAAAGGCCGACGTGATTCTTGTATAAATCATAAGTTAGGATTTGAGGTCTTGCAACTGCAAAGTGAGCTGAGCTCCTTACCTTCGTTTCCGCAAGATTCACAATTGACTTCGAGGTATCAGACAAGATTGGAAGGTAGATGCGAACAAGAGAGGAGGAAAATTGAAAAACGTATTGACCTTCTAAAAGAGGATATTGATGTTTTGTCGGAGAAAGAAAAGGTCAGTTTTTTCTAGTTTCTCTAGTCCTTATGTATAAAGAAGTTTCACCTGCGCGTGCAGTTTTTACTAGGAAGATTTTTTAATCGAGCTTCGTTGCTGGCAGATTATTTGAGTCCCGGCTGACATGCCATTTGAACGGTTTTGAAGCAGTTGGCTATTTTTAGAGAAGGTAGTCTTATTTTCAGAAATATTTGGCATTCAACAGGAAAATTCTGAGGTTGGAACCCTTAGGGCTTGATCGTTACAATAGAAGATATTGGTACTTTGGGAAATCCTCTAACGGAGGCATATTTGTTGAGAAGGTATTTTATTGCTTTATTTCAGGCATCATGGAGGGAGGGTAATTGGCAGTGGAGATTTTTAAATTTTTTCAAAAGTTTTATTGCTCTGATTTTTGGAGTTCAGCAGGCTTTTCAATAAACGGATTTAGGGGTGGTGGAATTACTCTCTGCTGTCAGCTTCAGAAACCAACTCTGGCGCTTTAGAAGCAAGCGAAAAAAGTGCAGAAAATGTGGAGCAGGTCGTAGAACCGTTGGGTGAAGGAGTGTCGTTGAATGTTTGTTTTAACGGTACCCCTAGAAAGAAGAAAGATGGCAAAGCATTTGAGGTGTTTGAAAAGTTGTATGCTGCGGAGACGGGGTGAGTTTTGGCTCTTGTTTAAAGCCGGGAAGTTCTCACACTATCGCATTCTGTAAATGTATTATCTTTAAAATCTTGCCATATTCAGCACTAGTTTTTAAAATAATGCTTCCACTTTTGTTTTTTTTTTTTTTTTTTT